AATATAGTACAAATTATTATTATTATTATTAGACAGACATTTACCTTTCAAACTTAGGTTCAGGTTTAATCTCATCTTCATCAGGACCAGGAGGTGTGGAACATCTCAAACTCATGAAAATCCTTTTAGAAACACAATTTTCATTGATTTGGACCCAACAGAGAAGCTGGATTTTCTGTGGTAAAAATAAAAACACATTGTGATAAAAAAAACAAATCATGAACAGATTTTAGTTTCTAGCTTTAGTTTGTTTATAATAATAATAATAATAATAATAATAATAATAATTCTAATATGTTTAATTTGAATATTTATAATAATCTCTGTCACATTTATTCACTAATAAAGATTATTCAAGTTATAACTGGATAACCAAAGTTTTATTTTGAAGAGTTCACAGGAAGTAGCAGTTGTATCCATTGATGTTCAGTCCTGCCCTCCTGTGGTCTGAATGAGAAACTGCAGCTGTTTTTACAGATGTTTGTCCAGATGTTTCTGTTACTGAAGACCTGAAAATAAGAAAAGTTTAATCAGATAAAGTTTTAATTTTTTTAATTGTTTTTAATATTCCTGATCTGAATAAAAGTCAGACATAAAGACTGCTGAACGGTCTGTAGTTAAACCTAAAAGTAGCAGAACAGCAGCTAAAAGTAGCAGAACAGCAGCTAAAAGTAGCAGAACAGCAGCTAAAAGTAGCAGAACTGCAGTTAGAAGTAGTAAAACAGCAGCTAAATAAAAGTTGGTCCCATCCTGTTTGCTGCTGTCCGTAAGGTCAGGGCTTTTACTTTGAAAGTCAGACTCTGAGCCAAAGCACGCTTCCTGTTTGGGTTCGTCGCTCCGGTTGTCCGTGTTTGATGTTGTCCGTGTTTCCAGCATCAAAATGACCAAACTGCAGCTGCTGAACGCCTACCTGACGGAGCGGCTGACGGCGGTGGTGAAGGAGGTTCTGGACGTGGTGGAGGACACGGTGGCCGAGTACCGGGAGGAGACCGCCAGAACCAGGCGGGAGAACGAGAGCCTGCGGAGGCAGCTGCGGGACATCCTGCTGCTGGAGGCCGAGACCGAGTGGCTGAGTAAGGGCCGAGCGCGACCGGAGTCTCGCGAGAGCGTGCCGTTCAAAACTGCGATGAAAAATCCGCCTTTTTAAACTCAACAAGAGATTTTAAGACCAAAATAAGGACAGATTAGTGATTTAAAACATTTTACGTGTCAATAATGATCTATTTTTAAATTTGGCATATTCTAAATGAACCAGTTTAGTTACTATTTGATGACAAAAGGGACTTTTTACCGGTTTTTGGTTCTGCTTCCTTTTCAGCATCCAGCCTGCATCAGACAGCAGCTGGAGGTGTTTTCTTTAGATGAAAGCAGCTGAAGCTTTCAGGCTCACTGAACTTTGGGCCGAATTTATCTTTTCAAGGTTGTTGGCAAGAAACATTTGGTTCTGACTCATTTTACTGAGTTTGTTTCTGTAAACCAACAAAATTATTGAAGTTTTAGAAATTTTTTATGGAAATCTGAGCCTAAAACTTCAACTCAAAATCAACTTTTCAGACATAAAATGAACTTTTATTGTGGTAACATGCTGACTTCCTGTGTCATTATAGATTTTCACACTGATCAGCCAAAACATTATGACCACTGACAGGTGCAGCTGTCATAGGGGCTTCCTGGTCTGTAGAACAATGGTCCAGTAATAAAACTAACTGGGTCGTGTAGGGACATGGATCCAGAGACCAGCAGGCCTTCAGGAGTCCAGAAGAAGATGGGTCAGTACTGAGGTGGTCATATTGTTCTGGCTGATGGGTTTATGTGCAGCTAAGTGAGGTTTGACGCCAGAACCTCTCAGTTCTGCCTCTGCTCCGTTTCTGTTCCAGGGTCCACCCGGTCAGGTCTGGGTTTTGTGGCTCCAGAAAAGAACCCTGGTGATCCAGAAGCCAGGACCTGTTCAGAGGAGCCAGACTCCACCCTGAACCAGTCTCAGCAGCCGCAGCTGGTTCCGGTCCAGAAGGAAACGCAGCCGGCGCCGGCTCACCTGCCAGGAGACCAGAAACCTGCTGATCTCTGGGAACCGTCACAAAAACCTGAACCGGTTCGGGAGGCGTTTGGCAGAACTTCACCTCTCCAGCCTCAGCCCTCCCTGAACCCACCCACAATGCACCTGGACGGCCCGACGCTCGGTGAGGAGCTGGCGGCGCGGATCAAAACTGAACCACAGGAGGGTTCTGGCGGGTCGGTGACGGCGAGCGTCCTGGTCCCTGTAGAAGAATCCAGTTTCAGCCGACTGGAGGCAGACCCGACGGTTCAGGACGCTCACGGGAACAGGAAGTCGTCTGAGGAAACGCAGCCGACCGACGAGGTCGCGGGTCTGATCCCAGAGCTGGTCCACCGCTGCCCGCGCTGTGGCGAGGCGTTCGGCCACGCCTCCGGCCTCAGACTGCACCTGGAGCAGAAGAGGAAGACCTACGCCTGCGACTGGTGCTGCAAGTCCTTCGCTCAGTCCGCCGACCTGCGGCGCCACCTGCGCACGCACACGGGCGAGCGACCGCACCGCTGCACCTTCTGCTCCAAGAGCTTCAGCCAGAGAGGAAACCTGCGGCGCCACCTGCGCATCCACACAGGTGAGCGGCCCTACAGCTGCCCGTTCTGCTGCCGCACCTTCAGCGACGGAGACACCATGAAGAAGCACAAACGCACGCACTCCGGAGAGAAACCGTACCGCTGCGCGCGCTGCTCCAGGACCTTCAGCAGCGCCGGCGGCCTGCAGCTGCACCTGAAGAAGGACCTGTGCTTCGTCAGCAGCACCTGATGGCGCCGGCCGCCCAGCACCTGGACCAGAACCACCTGGGCTCGGCCTGGAGTCGCTTCCTGTTCAGGTCCAAACTGTCAGGAAGTCTGAAGACCTCCGGGAACAAACGGATCAGAACCGATGGTGTTCTGTGTCCAAATGTTCCCCGAGGAGACCCCGAGTCCACCGCACTGCATTTCAGAACCAGAACCAGACCAGTACCTGCGCTGACTCAGAATCCGGGTCACTGCTGCTACATCCAGACCAGTTCTGAGGTTCCTTTGTAGCAACAGGAAGTAAAATAAAATCTTTTCCTGGTCAGAACCAGAGGTCCAAATGTTTCTGAAACTGAAGACTTGAAGGACAGTCTGGTTGTTACGAGCTGATATCAGTGGAGCTGTGGACAAACAGGCTAGAGGCTAAGCTAAATGCTAAGCTAAAGGCTAACTGAGTGAGCGCCTGGTTTGAATCACTTTTCAGATTTTAAAACATTTTTGTTTTGACAGAATTCTACATCAGCTAAAAAATAAACCCACACTTTGCCCCGCCCCCGCTGCTGCTGGTTGTTGTTTCCTCAGCTGACTGACGTCTGTGTTATGATGTAAACATGTGCAGGACGTAGACCGGTCCGGGTCAGTCCAGTACATCAGAGGAGTCTGATTTGTGGGTCAGATCAAAAAACTTTAAAAACCACTGAGGGCGGGGCCACTTAAATTGATCTTAAATTAATTTAAAGTGTTTCTATATAAAATAAAAAGTTAAAATCTTCAGGAGGTTACAGGTAAACCTGTTTATTAAAACACATTTAGATTTATTACCTGATGATGTCGCTCCACAGTTCAGCCTCTCAGGTGTTCCAGGTTTACCTGATGAAACTCTCGTGCTGCGTTCAGGTTCAGCGGGATTTTTCACCATTGTCAAACTCCACCAACCAGCTGCAGCTGACAGAAAATAGAAATCCCTGAAATTACAAACACAAAACATGCAAAAAAAGGTTCAAAAATGAAAACTTTTGTTTTTCCACATATTTCAGAAACATCCAGTTTATTCATAAAGTGAAAATATGAAGAATAATAAATCAGGCCAGATTCAAACTGTGTCAATGTATCTGATCTTTATATTTCAGGCCAATCATATGAATTTTAAAATATTTTATTTTTTCAGATTTTTGCTCCAATTTTCCAGAAAATTCTCCAGCAGTCTTTTATTTTGAAATCCCAGCAGAACAAAAAGCTGCGGTCGAACCTCTGATTGGAGAAACTTCTTTCCATCAAGCCACTGACAGAAACAGGATACAGATCATTTACACTTCAAAATAAAACAAAACTGCATCCAGTGAGGATTTCCTGCAGCTTTCTAATTACAGTGMGCTTTTATTTTGAAGCAGCTAACAGGAAGCAGCAGTCCGCAGACTTGTTATTTTGTGCAACAGACCGGCAGCTTCACAGGTATAAATCTGCTGCTGAGACACACAGAGAAACATGCTGAGACAGAAGAACAGATCCGTAGAAGAAGACAGAACCACAGAAGAAGAATCTTTTCAACAGGAAGTTCAACTTTTTTTCTGGAACTTCTGAATCTTCATGAGTTGCTGCAGTTCTTCTCATGTCCTCACGTCTGGTGTGTGTGCGTCTTCAGTGAGTCCAGATGTCTGCAGCTCAGAAGGCAATGATGGGCATGGACCTGGGCACCACCTCCTCCTGTGTGGGGGTCTTCCAGCAGGGAAAAGTGGAAATCATGGCCAACGATCAGGACAACAGGACCACCCAGCTGTGTGTCCTTCACGGACACAGAGAGGCTGATCAGGGACRAGAACCAGATGTCTCTGAACCCCAACAACACGGTGTTGGACACCAACAGGCTGATTGGAAGGAGGTTTGATGATGCGGTGGTGCAGTGGACATGAAGCACTGGCCCTTCAAGYTGSTTTCAGAAGGACATGGACTACAAAGGAGAGGACTGGACCTTCTTCCCCGAGGAGACCTCCTCCATGGTCCTGGTAAAGATGAAAGAGATGGTCTGAAGGTGTCCCATGCCGTCCTTACCGTTCTGGCGTACTTCAACCACTCCCAGAGACAGGCCATTAAAGACGCCGGCGTCATGGTGGGATTCAACGTCCTGAGGWTCATCAACGAGCCCACGGCAGCTTCCATGGCCTACGGTCTGGACAAAGACAGGTCAGGATCAGGAGAAGGAACGTCCTGATCTTTGACCTGTGCGGAGCCACCTTGGATGTGTCTGTCCTGACCATGGAAGACAGTGTCTTGGAGGTGAAGGCTATGGCTGGAGACACCTGGGAGGACAGGACTTTGACCAGCGCATGGTGAAGACCTTTGTGGAGGAGTTCAAGAGGAACCACAAGAAGGACCTGAGCCAGAACCAGGGAGCCTTGAGGACTCTGCACACAGCTTGTGAGAGGACCAAGAGGACCCTGTCCTCYAGCTCCCAGGCCAGCCTGGAGGTGGACTCTGTGCCAGGACCTGGACTTCTCCCCCTCCATCAGCAGCTGGCTTTGAGGAGCTGTGCTCCCACCTGTTCAGAGGAACCTTGGAGCCCRTGGAGAAAGCTCTGAGGGACGCCAAAATGGACAAGAGCCAGATCCACTGTGGTCCTGGTGGGAGGCTCCACCTGYACCTCCAAGATCCAGAACCTCCTGCAGGACTTCTTCAATGGCCTCCAGCTGAACAAGAGCATCATCCCCGATGAAGCCGTGGCTTACCGTCCTGACCACTATCCTGACCACTATCCTGACCACCATTCTGACCACTATCCTGACCACCGTTCTGACCACTATCCTGACCACCGTCCTGACCACTATCCTGACCACCGTTCTGACCACTATCCTGACTACCATCCTGACCATTATCCTGACCACCATCTTGACCATTATCCTGACCACCATCCTGACCATCGTCCTGACCACCGTCCTGACCACTATCCTGACCACCATCCTGACCACTATCCTGACCACCATCCTGACCATTATCCTGACCACCGTCCTGACCACCGTCCTGACCACCGTCCTGACCACTATCCTGACCACTATCCTGACCACTATCCTGACCACCATTCTGACCATTATCCTGACCACC